TAGAACATAATGTTTTATACAATGATATAAGTAACTGCGACAATCAATATGCCCTACTTACAATAATTAAAATGTAGAATTCGTCTGGTAGAGTAGGTGCAAGTGCAATGAGAGCAAACCACCGTCTATGATATCTAGAAGGAGAGTGAGCCGGGCGCCTTATCCTCACGCTTGGTACAAGTCAAAACAAGAATTAAACTGTCCCACACGGAGAGCCTGTTCATGTTCATGTTCTGACATGCATATTGTACACAAGCTATAGAACCATAAAATACTCCATAATCCATATGCTTACATGAGATTAGTTAATATCAAGTGAATAATTCTAATCAAGTCTCATTAATTTGTTGAAATACTGATATTTGAAACTTTAAGGTATAATTGATGTAGGTGAGGGTTATTTCAATTCATTTTTGTTTGCTAATCTCAAGTTTAGACATAAAGAGGCACAATATTTTGACTACCAAATTTGATTTTTAACATGTTGACAAAATTGACACACCCTACTCACCGCGTATATGTGGAAAAAATCCGCGTTAAGTGAAAGTTCAGCTTTGGCAAGGCACCGCGTATATGCGAAAACGCGTTAAGTGAAACCGCGTTAGGCGGGGTAAAACTGTAATAATAATAATAATAATATATATACAGTGGGGTATGCTATAACGAATCTAATTGGTTCTAGAACCTTGTTCGTTATAGCATTCGTTCGTTATAGGATTAATCCGTTCCAGGCCCCCAAATACAACCACTTAACACTGAAAAATATAACATAAAATTGTAAGAATTGTAAAAAAGTGCATAAATATGCATCTAAACCCCTGAAATAAAGAATATCATTAATATTTGTAATAAAAAAACAATAAATTAATAAAAAAAAAAAAATTAAATAATGTTCGTTGTAGGAGTTTCGTTCGTTATAGCATTCTCAATTTTATAGGTAAAACCGTTCGTTATAGGAATATTCGTAGTAGGATCCGTTCGTTATAGCATACCCCACTGTAATAATAATAATAATAATAATTATTCATAGTAAATAAAATTTTTAATAAAAAATGCACAAAAATAAAATAGAATGATAACAATAATAATAATAATAATAATAATAATAATAATAATAATAAAATTAATAATAATAATAATAAAATTAATAATAATAATACTGTATTAATAAAATAATAATAATAATAATAATAAAGAAATACAAGAATGAAAAAAGATCAAAAGTGAGAAACACGACCTAGACCTATGAATTATTATTATTATTATTACAGACAGATTGCCCCGGAGGGGGCTAGTTTATTGGGCACCCCCTTACATCCTGTGCAAGGTGAAGCGCAGAAGCGTTTACAGCGCCCAACAGGGAAGCATGCGGAGTTCATGCTTGGCTTCATGACTCATGCATTAAGGGCATAAAAGCCTGAAGGGTCATGGGTTTTGTCAGCAAGTTACATAAAGTGACAGAATGATGAGTGTGTGGGAGGGAAATTCCCGGTACAATTTATCTGTTTATGGCAAAGTGTGGCAGGTCCCTAGTGCCAGGCCTGTCACTAGGAGGGGGGATATCTGGTCAGGGAGGGAAGAAGTGTTGGTAATGACTGGGGACCTGTAGGAGGAGGTCATAGGGCAAGTGAGGATGTGGTGAGAGAGGGTGTGAGAGTCGGGTTGACCACAAAGTTTACAAACATTATTATTATATTTTAGCCCTCAGGCCCCAATGTGGGTCAGTGACCTGTGCCAGGGTGGTCTGATCCCTGTAAAAAAAAAACCACTAACCACTCTGGAATCCGAAAAATTCCGAAAACCGAAATGCATCTGGCCCCAAGGATTTCGCATAAGGGATTGTCAACTAATAGTATTACAATCTTACTTTGTTTAGTTCCTTCGTTTTATTAACCCTGAAGACCGTAGCAACTTGAAGTTAAGTAAACCCTGAGGAGTGCGTATAACTTTAACGGCCTCGTCATAATCAATCAGGTACTGATCAAAGTCTTTCTCTGCCCTCTCTAAAAATCGCCACACAGATTCTTCATCAACTAAATCATTGATTATTGATGCCGGCAACAGTTCAGTTTCATTATAAGACTGAGGTATGGGCTCACTTTCACTAGCATTCGTTGGGTCAGGCTTACTTTCACACTTTCACCATCATTCGTTGGGTCAGGCTCACTTTCACACTTTCACCATCATTCGTTGGGTCAGGCTCACTTTCACACTTTCACCATCATTCGTTGGGTCAGGCTTACTTTCACTAACATTCATTGGGTCAGGCTCACTTTCACTAGCATTCGTTGGGTCAGGCTCACTTTCACTAGCATTCGTTGGGTCAGGCTCACTTTCACTAGCATTCGTTGGGTCAGGCTCACTTTCACTATCATTCGTTGGGTCAGGCTCACTTTCACTAGCATTCGTTGGGTCAGGCTCACTTTCACTATCATTCGTTGGGTCAGGCTCACTTTCACTAGCATTTGTTGGGTCAGGCTCACTTTCATCACCATCAAGGTCAGTGCATGTCTCGTCACTGTCCACCTCTACCTCCTCATAGTCTGTATGTTCTTGGTGTGGTGCCGACCTGCCTCGCCTTGACTACTTTCTTGGTGCTGTACCTTACCTACTCCTCACCCAAATGCCGTTTACGCTTGGCAACCTCCTTTGCCCACTCGTCAACCCTACGCTCTCATCCTGCCTTTTTTTTCTATAGGGTCTTGGGGTGGGGTGGGGGGGCGGGTATGCTCCTGACTCCTGCAATCTGCATCCCATGGTGCTCCACCACTAGGCTCCCCACCATCACCAAGTAGCTCATCACCAACATTCTCATGCACGGTCACCTGCACCATCGCCAGTATCACTTGTATCACCATAATCAACACTAAATTCACCACCAAAATCACTATCACCAAGCATTACTGGGGTGTCCACGTGAGCACTGGCGTCAAACACACGCTCAGGAATAATGGGCTCCTGAACCCACACCAGAAGGCCTGGCCTCACTCCAGTCTTGCTCTAATATCGGCCAGATATTGCACGGCACTTCTCACACCCGTGGAACACGAATAACGTCAATGTTACGCCCAAAAGTTATCAAAAATAGCAGTAGAACAAATACTGAACTTCCTGATACTAAAATATGCACCAAAACTAAGGAGGGGGCAGCATCTGGGTGTGCGGATTGGCCGAGAAGCTGTGACGTAGCAAGGGGAAATCCATTATGATTGGCTGCCTCGGGGGGTATGGTCCGAGGGAGGCGCGCTGTCATTGGCTCGCACAGCCAGATACTCAGCTCCAGGCCTGAGGCAAAATCACACCTTATTTTTGAAGGATTTTCTACCACATTTCTATTCTAGGTAGAGTCACATCCAACGCCAACATGTAGAGGAAGGGTGAAAATAGTGATATCCATTAAAAAACACATTTTGGCCGGGGTGTTGCTTCACCCCCTTCTGACGGGAGCCCCTCATAATATAAAGTATGTATTGAGGGTCTCTGCCGTTAACATTTCTTCCTCCAGAACCAAAATTATCCTTCATCTTTATTTTGCTTTTGGTCTGGTGTGTACATAAAAGGACTTGGGATCTTTCTTAATAGGTTGGGCCAGGTTCTCTGTGAAAGTCCTTTGGTATTTGTATTTTATTGTGTTGATTCTCATGTGTTTGTGGTTCATCCTCCTGGACTTCCTTTCTTCCTTGACTTCCAGGGAACAGCCTCAAACTTCTGCCATGATTCTTCAGTATTGGATTTCTTCCTTATGATTAGTTGCTGGTATGATGTAGTCAGGATTTATATTCACCTCAGTTGGTAGAGGTAGGGGTGTATTTTATCCCTATGTGGACATCATCTTCCACTGACCCTTTTTAAGTCAACCAAGACCAAATCCAAAAAGTTCTCTCCCTTAGCATGTACAGTACCATCACTTGTTGTCTGAGAACTGAATGGTATTGTGAGGTTAAAGTAATCCTCTCCTTCAACTTGTGAGCGGTAAAATTCACAGTGTGTCTTCTTATGATTAAGGTCTCATTTACAGTTATGACAAGAGACCACTGATAGATCATGTGGCTAATATCTGAGGCTTTTATTCTTGATCAGATCATTCTCTCTGGTAGATACTCTCTCCTGGGATAACTATCGATACAACATCTTGCGTACATCATAAGAACTTTTATACAGTAGTTGGTAAATGGTTTTCCAACACCTCCACACACACACGCACGCACGCACGCACTCTCACACACACACACACACACACACACACACACACACACACGTGGATTAGCCCACCCGGGCACTAGTCACTGACACACATTTGGGCCTGAGGGGTGAAAATATAATAATAATAATAATAATAAATAATAATAATAATAATAATAATAATAATAATGATAATGTCTATCATTATTATTATTATTATTACAACAATTAATAAAATAATAATAATAATAATAATAATAATAATAATAATAATAATAATAATAATAATAATAATAATAATAACAATAATAACCATAAATAAATAAAAAATCGAACAAATAAATCAATAGTGAGAAACAATATATGTATGTTGTGTTGTCAATAGTAAGAGAAACAATTGAGACCCTGCAATTGTGTGTAAATGAGGCAGAAAGTCAGATCATCAACCTGGGACTTGGTCACATATGGCAGCAGAGTCTACCATTAGACAACACATTATGCTTCCAATATCTTCCCAGTACCTCCCTGTTTGGTAGCTGCCTACAACCTACTTATGCTAACCCTCGAGTTTTCTCCATGTTGGGTCACACTGTAGGGTTGTTCTTGTTTTAGTAATGATGGTGATGGTGAGGATGGCGATGATGGTGAGGATGGTGGTTAGGAAGACGACGATGATGGTGGTGGTTATGATGACAACAATGATTATGGTGATGATAATAAGTCAGATTCTAATAATAATGGTGATTCTAATAATAATATTGATGATGATGATGATGATGATGATGATGATGGTTAGAGCAATACATGTTTATAAAGCACATCTCCTCAGATCCAGAAGAACAACTGGTATCAGCGGGAGGTGGAGCGACTCAAGGAGGAAGTCAACAGCAGAGACATCAAAATCAAGTGGGCCCAGAATAAACTAAAGACAGAACTTGATGCTCGACAGGTACTGTGCTGTACTGTGCTGTATTGTGCTGTACTGTGTTGTGCTATACTGTGCTGTGCTATACTGTGCTATACTGTGTTGTGTTGTGCTATACTGTGCTGTACTGTGTTGTGCTGTGCTATACTGTGTTGTGTTGTGCTATACTGTGCTGTACTGTGTTGTGCTGGGCTATACTGTGTTGTGCTGTGCTATACTGTGCTGTGCTATACTGTGCTGTGTTGTGCTGTATTGTGTTGTATTGTGCTGTACTGTGTTGTGCTGTGCTATACTGTACTGTGCTGTACTGTGTTATGTATGCTGTACTGTATTTGTGCTGTGCTGTGCTGTGTTGTGCTATACTGTGCTGTGTTGTGCTGTATTGTGTTGTGCTGTACTGTACTGTACTGTGCTGTGCTGTGTGTGCTGTGCTGTGTTGTGCTGTACTGTGTTGTGCTGTACTGTGCTATACTGTGCTGTGTTGTGCTGTATGTGTGTGTGCTGTACTGTACTGTGCTGTGTACTGTGTTGTATTGTGCTGTATCTGTGTTGTGCTGTGCTGTGCTGTGCTATACTGCTGTGTTTTGCTATGTTGTGCTGTGCTGCTGTGCTGCTGTGTTTTGTTGTGCTGTACTGTGTTGTGCTGTATACTGTGCTGTGCTATACTGTGCTGTGTTTTCTGTACTGTGTTGTGCTGTTATTGTATTTGTGCTGTACTGTGCTGTGCTGTGTTGTGCTATGCTGTGTTGTGCTTATGTGTGTTGTACGCTGTGCTGTGTTGTGCTGTGCTGTACTGTGCTATACTATGCTGTGTGTGCTGTACTGTGTTGTGCTGTATTGTGTTGTGCTGTACTGTGCACTGCTTTACTCTACTGTGCTGTACTGTGTTGTGCTGTGCTGTACTGTACTATGCTGTACTTTCTTTACTGTGCCTCTACTGCTGTGTTGTACTGCTGTGCACTACTGTACTGTACTGTACTTTACTTTACTGTGCTTCCTCTAGTGTGCTGTGCTGTGTTGTGTTGTGCTGTATGTGTTGTGCTGTACTGTGCTGTGTGTGTGCTGTGCTGTACTGTGCTCTCTACTGTGCTGTGTTGTACTGTACTGTGCTGTACTGTGCTGTGTTATTGCTGTACTGTACTGTACTTTACTATTGCTTTACTTTACTGTGCTTTACTCTACTGTGTGCTGTACTGTGCTGTGTTGTGCTGTGCTATGCTTTACTTTACTGTGCTTTACTCTACTGTGCTTTACTCTACTGTGCTGTACTGTGTGTGCTGTGTTGTGCTGTGCTGTGCTGTGCTGTGTTGTGCTATGCTGTACTTTACTTTACTCTCTGTGCTGTGACTGTGCTGTGCTGTTATGTGTTGTGCTGTGCTGTACTTCTTTGCTGTGCTATCTACTGTGCTGTGCTGTGTGCTGTATGCTTGCTGTTTTACTCTGCTGTGCTGTGCTGTGCTATGCTGTGTTGTGCTGTGCTGCTATGCTACCCTGTGCTGCACTGTGTGCTGTGCTGTGCTGTGCTTGTGCTGTGCTGTGCTTCTGTGTTACTCTGCTGTGTAACATGCTGTGTGTGTGTGCTGTACTTTACATGTTTACTCTACTGTGCTGTACTGTGCTATGCTGTGTTGTGCTGTGCTGTGCTGTGCTTTACTGTGCTTTACTGCACTGTGTGCTGTGCTGTGCTGTGCTGTGTTGTATATGCTTCTGTGTTTTACTCTACTGTGCTGCTGTGCTATGCTGTGTTGTGCTGTGCTGTACTGTGTGCTACTGTGCTTTACTGCACTGTGCTGTACTGTGCTTTACTCTAGCTGTGCTATGCTGTACTGTGCTGTGCTGTGCTTTTACTCTGCACGTCGCTGTGCTGTGCTGTGCTGTGCTTTATACTGTGCTGTACTGTGCACCTCTGCTGTGCATTCTGCTGTGCTGTGCTAGCTGCTTTGTTCTGCTGTGTGCTGCTGTGCTGTGCTGTGCTTTACTGCTCTGCTGTGCTGTGCTGTGCTGTGCTGTGTGCTGCTCTCTGTGTGTGCTGTGTGTGTGTGCTGTGCCTGCACTGTGCTGTGCTGTGCTTTGTTCCTGTGTACTGTGCTTTGCTCTGTGTACTTTACTCTCTGTGTACTGTACTTTGCTCTACTGTGCTGTGCTGTGCTTTACTCCTACTGTGCTGTATTCTGCTGTGCTGTGCTGTGCTGTGCTGTGCTGTGCTGTGCTTTATTCTGCTGTGCTGTGTTCTACTGTGCTGTGCTGCTGTGTACTGTGTACTGTGCTTTATTCCTGCTGTGCTGTGCTGCTCTACTGTGCTGTATTCTACTGCTGTACTGTGCTTTATTCTACTGTGTGCTGTGCTGTACTGTGCTGCTCTACTGTACTTGCTCTGCTGTGCTGTGCTGTGCTGTGCTGTGCTGTACTGTGCTTTACTCTGCTGTGCTGTACTGTACTTTACTCCTGTGCTGTACTGTGCTTTACTCTGCTGTGCTGTACTGTTGCTTACTTGTGTATTCTGCTGTGCTGTGCTGTGCTGTGCACATGCTGTGCTGTACTTTATTCTGACTTGCTGTGCTGTGCTGCTCACTGTGCTGTATTCTACTCTACTGTGCTGTGCTGTACTGTGCTCTACTGTGCTGTACTGTGCTTTACTCTACTGTGCTGTATTCTACTCTGTGCTGTACTGTACTCTGTACTGTTCTACTGTGCTGTGCGCTGCTCTACTGTGCTGTACTGTGCTTTTCTACTGTGCTGTGCTGTGCTGTATGCTACTCTACTGTGTGCTGTGCTGTGCTTTACTCTACTGTGCTGTGCTGTGCTGTGCTTTACTCTGCACTGCTGTGTGCATGCTACTCTGCATGCTGTGCTGTGCTTTACTCTACTGTGCTGTACTGTGTGCTGTGCTGTACTTTACTCTACTGTGTGTACTGTGCTACTCACTGTGCTGTACTGTGCTGTGCATGCTTTACTCTACTGTGCTGTACTGTACTTCTCTACTGTACTTTTACTCTACTGTGCTGTGCTACTCTACTGTGCTGTGCACTGTACTCTACTGTCTGCTGTGTTCTACTGCTGCTGTGCTTTACTCTACTGTGCTGTATTCTACTGTGCTGCTGCACTGTGCTTTACTGTACTTGCTATGCTTACTGTGCTGTGCTGTTAACAATTATGCTTTGCTCTGCTGTAACTGCTGTGCTTTACTCTGCTGTGCTGTGCTGTGCTGTACTGTGCTTTGCTGTGCTGTGCTGTGCTGTGCTGTGCTGTGCTACTGTGCTGTACTGTACTTTCTGTGCTGTGCTGTGTGTGCTGTACTGCTGTGCTGTGCTGTGCTTTACTCTCTGTATGCTGTGCTGTGCTGTGCTTTACTCTACTGTGCTGTGCTGTGCTGTGCTTTGCTCTACTGTGCTGTGCATTCTGTGCTGCTGTGCTACTCTGTGCTGTACTGTACTATTCTACTGTGCTGTACTGTACTTTACTCTCTACTGTGTATTCTACTGTGCTGTACTGTGCTACTCTGTGCTGTGTTTTGTGCTTGTGCTGTACTGGCTCCTGCAGTAACTTGTGCTGTGCTGCTCTGCTGGTACTGCTGTTAACTTTGCTGTGCTTTGCTGTGCTGTGCTGTGCTGTACTGACAGTAGCTGTGCTGTGTCTGCTCTACTGTGTGTGTTCTGCTGTGCTGTACTGTGCTGTGCTGTGCTGTGTGTGCTGTGCTGTGCTGTGCTGTACTGTGCTGCTATGCTGTGCTGTACTTTTCTGTGCAACTGTGCTTTTTGCTCTGCAGTAACGTGCTGTACTGTACTTTACTCTACTGTGCTGTACTGTGCTGTACTGTACTTTACTGTGCTGTACTGTACTGTACTTTACTGTGCTGTACTGTGCTGTACTGTACTTTACTGTGCTGTACTGTACTTTACTGTGCTGTATTCTACTGTGCTGTACTGTACTTTACTCTATTGTGCTGTATTCTACTGTGCTGTACTGTGCTGTACTGTGCTGTACTGTACTTTACTCTACTGTGCTGTACTGTACTTTACTCTACTGTGCTGTACTGTACTTTACTGTGCTGTATTCTACTGTGCTGTATTCTACTGTACTGTACTTTACTGTACTGTACTTTACTGTGCTGTATTCTACTGTGCTGTACTGTACTTTACTCTACTGTGCTGTATTCTACTGTGTTGTACTGTACTTTACTCTACTGTGCTGTACTGTACTTTACTCTACTGTGCTGTACTGTACTTTACTCTACTGTGCTGTACTGTACTTTACTGTGCTGTACTGTACTTTACTCTACTGTGCTGTACTGTACTTTACTGTGCTGTACTGTACTTTACTTTACTGTGCTGTACTGTACTTTACTCTACTGTGCTGTACTGTACTTTACTCTACTGTGCTGTACTGTACTTTACTGTGCTGTATTCTACTGTGCTGTGTTCTACTGTACTTTACTGTACTTTACTCTACTGTGGTGTATTCTACTGTGCTGTACTTTACTATACTGTACTTTACTCTACTGTGCTGTACTGTACTTTACTGTGCTGTATTCTACTGTGCTGTATTGTACTGTACTTTCCTGTACTTTACTCTACTGTGGTGTATTCTACTGTGCTGTACTTTACTATACTGTACTTTACTCTACTGTGCTTTACTGTACTTTACTGTGCTGTATTCTACTGTGCTGTATTCTACTGTACTTTACTGTACTTTACTCTACTGTGGTGTATTCTACTGTGCTGTACTTTACTATACTGTACTTTACTCTACTGTGCTGTACTGTACTTTATTCTACTGTGCTGTACTGTACTTTACTCTACTGTGCTGTATTCTACTGTGCTGTACTGTGCTGTACTGTACTGTACTTTACTCTACTGTGCTGTACTGTACTTTACTGTGCTGTATTCTACTGTGCTGTATTCTACTGTGCTGTATTCTACTGTACTGTACTTTACTCTACTGTGCTGTATTCTACTGTGCTGTACTGTACTGTACTTTACTCTACTGTGCTGTATTCTACTGTGCTGTACTTTACTGTACTGTACTTTACTCTACTGTGGTTTGCTCGTATCTTTTATTTTAGAAGACAAGTTATTATCTTTATGACTTATGGGAAGACTAATTTAAGATATGGGGAAAAAAGTGTGTGTTGGAGGGGGGGAAAGAAGTGTGTGTTGGAGGAGGGAAAGAAGTGTGTTGGAGGAGGGAAAGAAGTGTGTCTTGGAGGAGGGAAAGAAGTGTGTCTTGGAGGAGGGAAAGAAGTGTGTTGGAGGAGGGAAAGAAGTGTGTGTTGGAGGAGGGAAAGAAGTGTGTGTCAGAAGGTAAATGTAATGTTATAGTAGAAATACTAGTAAGAGTTATTAGGTTATAGGTTGAAGTGAGGAAGTTGGTAGTGTTAGGTATTTAACTTTTAATGTGTTGTTAAGGGAAGTCTTCTGAACACCAACTCTAAGTACCACTATTTATTATTCAACTCAATGGTGTGGACACATTAATGAAGCATTATATTTACGTTACTAGACAATGACTCGGACATAAACACGAAATGGATACACTTCCCACCGTAAGTAACTCACCCCTGGATCGCTTTGATAAAGACTCAGGGTGACCTGAGGGAGGCCCAGCGGCTGGGGAAGCTGCAGGTGCTGCTGGACTATGTCTCCTGTGGGAGACTCTGCTAGCTGGAGACTCGGTGCTGGGGATGGAAGTCTCCCTCTGGGAAGGAGCTGTCGGCCCCTTCCCTGTTGCAATAATAATCCAAATGCTAATGCCCCATGGAAGGAGCTGTAGTTTCTTATATTGGCGTGAGCAGGAAGATGTCGTCACTAATCTGGGTGTGTCTTGCAGGTGTAGTTTCTTTAACACGGTCATAACGCCGGGTTAACTCAGGTACCTAGTGGCCGTGACCTCTCCTGGGTCAGGTCTTACTGTAGGGTGTGTCAACCTATGTGGGTTACCACGTGGTCATTAGGGGGCAGTGAAATTTTGCTCAAAGCTGCACTCTTCAGGCGTTGTTCCTTATACATATCTAAGACTCCATGCCAAATTTGAAGCTGATATGTCTAGGTTTAGTCTGCCGCATTTTCTACTGAAATTTTTAAATTTACCTACAGTACTAGCCAAACAGCCGCTGTGGCGGTGCAATGTTCTGTTCAGTGTTTATCAACTTTTTTTTCATATCTCTTATTTCATTTAAGTTGTCTTGTTGCAGATGAGTATGGTGCTATGTCTATATTGATTATCAGCCTTTTCTCATTTCATTTCTCAATGTTGTGTTACTGTACTGTAATGTAGGGAAGACCTGGGTAAGTTGCCGCTTGTGACCGATACTTGATTAGTGATTATGCTGGAGCTGCCATTGCTACTGCCACCTTAACTGACTATGGCATTATCACAAAGGATGACAAGAGTCAGGTTATTGGACCACATAAGCTGCGGGATGCGAGACAAAAATACCGATTTAAGAGGCAAGAAATTGAGATGGCTAGTTTAGATAATTTGACGTCACTCTATTTTGATGGTAAGAAGACCGCCACTCGTGTGATGATAAAGAATGAGAAGACCGAGAAATGGAGTTCGAGGATGATGGTGAAAGATCATTATGTCATCATGGTTGAGCCTGGCAATGAATATCTCACACATGTGACTCCCAAGACTGGACACGGAAAGCAGATTGCCAAAACTATTCACGAGTTTCTGGTGGAGAAAAATCTAACCCAGCAGCCCATTGTGTGTGTTGGTTGTGATGGAACCAATGTAAATGTAGGATCAGAAAATGGAGTCATTCATCATCTTGAAATGTTACTTGGTCACCCGCTCCATTATTTCATATGTCAGCTTCACGGAAATGAGCTGCCTTTCCGCGCAGTTTTTTATCACTATGATGGTAAACCAAGTGGTCCTGAGCATTGGCGTGGTCCCATTGGAAAGCAGATCAAGGAGTCTTTGTCTGAGCTTCCAGTTGTCGCCTTCCAGCCAGTCAGTTTCCCTGATTTCCCTGTGTTTAATGATGAAGTGGAGAAAGATCTGTCCTGGGATCAGAAATACCTGTATAGGATTTGTAAAGGAGTTATCACAGGTGTTGTTGAAGATGACTTGGCTGCTATTGAGCCAGGTCCTCCCTGTGTGTCAAGGTGGAACACCTTATGGAGTAGAATCCTCAGGCTGTATGTAGCAACATCAAGACCCAGCCATGAGTTGAAAAGAATTGTCATTACAATAATAAAGTTCAGTGCTCCAATGTGGTTTTACATCAAGATACACCCTTACGTAACACACGGCTCAAGGAACGTATTCCAGTCCCTGCTATATATGAAACACCTGAATAGTGAGGAGGAGACGATAGTGAAGAAGGCTGTCCAGAGAAATGCATACTTCGCCCACACAGATCAATTTCTTCTTGGTATGTGTGCAGATGAGGACATGACTGTTAGAGAAAAAGCTGTCTCAATGATAAGAAAAATTAGAGAGGAGAATCAGCAAAAGGAGGAATGCACTGGCAGATCTGAAGAGGAGGAGGAAGATTCTGATGCTGCTGTTGACGAGAATTTGTTAAACTATACTGATGAGGAGGGTGAAGATGGAGATGGGATTGAGGATGTGCCTCCTGTAGTCAACATAAGAAAGGTGGTGACTCCGAAACTAAAGTGGCAAGCAAAAAACTATCATTCCATGATTAACTGGAGGAATGAACTCAAGACTGAGCCTCCTTACATTGCTTCTCTGTCAAATCTACAGATTAATGACATTCTTGAGACACCATTAGTGGTGCCCAAGTGGCCAAACAGCACTCAGGCGGTCGAGAGAGGCATAAAAGTGATGACTGAAGCTTGCACTGAAGTGACGGGATACGAATCGAGAGATGGATATATTAGGCAAAGATTATTGTCTAGGAAAATGATGCCAAGGTTCCGCACAAAAAAGAATTTCAATATGAACTTGTAATGATTTTCTATACGGTGTACCTGTAAAATAACATGTGAATTAAATCGATGTCACCCATGTAAAATTTATCATTATCCTGGAAAACATTAAATGACACCTAATTTTTGGTATACACTAAAAGTTGACAAAAAGTCGTTCGCGATGCGGCAGGGTAAGTATGCATGAAATGGCATGAAATTTTGCACAGGTGTTTGTTACAGCCATACAAACGATGCCTGAAAAGTGCAGCCTGCAACTCAAATAAAAGTGTTTTTTCCCTGCCCCCTAGTGGTCATCTACTTACTGTTATATGTGTTGTATTTCTCTGGGCTGTAAGTTGTGGTCTGATAAACACTCATTACAAGATAAGTGTGTGGCAGAGGAGGAAAACAAGTGTGTTGAAGGTGGGAAACAAGTGTGTGTTGAAGGTGGGAAAGAAGTGTGTGATGGAGGAGGAGGGAAAAAAGTGTGTTGAGGGAGTAAGCATGAGGCAGAAACATGATTAAAAATGATGAAAATGATGTAGAAGAAGATGAAGAAGAAGAAGAAAGATAAATGATATGAATAGGACACAAACAATAAAGGTGGACGCAAACGGGTAGTTGGACCTGGGTCTTGGTTATGGTTGTGTTAAATGAGAAGAAAGGAAATGAAAGCTTGTCGGAGAAAACATACTGTACTGGGTGTAAGTGAGTGGTCTACAAGATATTTAGGTCAGGTTAGGTTAAGTTGGTTTAGGTCAGGTAAGGTTAGGTCAGTTTAGTTTAGGTCAGTTTAGTTTAGGTCAGGTTAGGTTAATTTGGATTAGTTTAGGTCAGTTTAGTTTAGGTCAGGTAAGGTTAGGTCAGGTTAGGTTAAGTTGGATTAGCTTAGGTTAGGTTAGTTTAGGTCAGGTTAGGTTATGTTGGATTAGATTACGTTAAGTTAGTTTAGGTCAGGTAAGGTTAGGTCAGGTTAGGTTAAGTTGGTTTAGGTCAGGTAAGGTTAGGTCAGGTTAGGGTAAGTTGGATTAGATTACATTAGGTTAGTTTAGGTCAGGTTAGGTTATGTTGGATTAGATTACGTTAAGTTAGTTTAGGTCAGGTAAGGTTAGGTTAAGTCAGGTTAGGTTAGATTAGCAAAAAGATATCTTTGTAGAGTGCTTGGTGTAGTAGCACCCTGTAGTGTATACAAGAGAAGAAGGAAGGAGGCAGAAGAAGGGGTGTGGGATAGACATCTGAGTGAGGAAACCTTGAGACCCTGTTGTAGGAGGAGGAGAGTGTAGCGGAGAACACCATCTAAGAGACGACCTATGGTGGAGGGAGGGAGGGGTGTGTTGGGGATGACTCGGCTCACCCAGTAATGCCTCAGTGGGAAACAGCTCAGTGACAGCTCTGTGTACTGAGCCGTGTGGTATTTAATTGATGAAAGGTCCAAGTTAATTTACAAGATAAAACTTATCATGTTACTCAATTTAACATCCTTTAACTTAATGTATTCTGTATATACAACCTATGTATATTTATGTATAGTGCCATCAATTTAAGCCTTAATAATCTCCAACAGGAAGCTCAAGGCAAACTAGACAGGGCGCTGGTGAAGATAATGAAGCACGAGGACGAACTGAAGGCCATCAAGGAGGAAGCTGAGAGTATTGTCCGATCCACCAGGGACAGTGAGAATTCCCGGGCAAATGTTTTAGGTATGGCTCACACTAGGGTGTTCATATTGACATAAAAAATACCCACGTGCAATTTTTTGAAGATTCATGCATATTAGAGAGAGCTCCAGCAATTTGAAAAATAGCGATTTTGCTTATACGGCATACGCGCCTATATATGAGATTACACAACCATCATAAGGGATATTAACACAAATCATTTGCCTGTCTTAATTAAAAGCTGTTATCACTAACACAAAAAAGTACAGTGAGGTGTTTTATCATATATTCACAAGGTATTATTTCTCTAGAGCAAGAAACCATGATTTGTGTTGGGAAACAGATGATCGTTTGTGCTGATTAGGAACGCGGAGTCTATCATTTTCAACTACTTGAAGGACTTCTTGAAAGCGCTCCTCATCCCTGGCAACATTAAGAAAGTCATGGCAAAGTTTTACACCACGCTCTGCAGCCTCATTGACGACCTGAAGCTTGTCCACAACCCGTTCCATGTTCAGGTAGTCGTCATGATCCGCCCATTCACTGGCTGGACTGTGGAGAAACTGATAGGGCATGCCTAAAATGGTGAAGAACCGGCTTGAGTCAGGCCCAATTAGTTCCACCAGGGCAGTGCCACTTTCTGGGACAGGGGGAAGATATGGCTTTCCATAGCCCCCATGATTGAGCCCCACTCTCTTAGTAACTTCAGTGCCTTCATGGCAAAGAAGGGCCTTCCTCATCTCCTCTTTTGTCCTTTCCTGTACTTGGGACGAGAACAAAGCCAGTGGGGCCAACTCCTCAGTTAGGTACCAAGTGTGTCTACCGAGTGCCACACGTGCTTTGCCAACTGTTGTGGCGTCATATGGGGCAAATTCAGCCAAGGTTTCGACCAAATTCAAGTCATTCAGTGGCGCACTTGCTGGAACGGGTCAAACAATCCACCATGGGACATAAACAGCGACTGTGAACACACCAAACTGTTCTAACTTGCTGATTTGACTTTTAGTCACAACCTCAGCTTTGGGAAACTGCTCTTTGATCTGGCCTGACAAAAGAACAATCTTGAGGGTATAGAGCAGTTTAGCCATCCACCTTGCTTTGTGAAGTGCGCCGGGGTAGACCATCGTGAAGTTCACTGGCTCGGATCCTTTAGTTACAAGCAGCAGACAAAGCTCTGCCAGCTCCTTGTAGTCGCCACGTGTAAATGGTTGGGCAAGAGATTCACGGAAGAAGTCAGCCATCTCCTGCTGACGCTCCTCAAACACTCCTGGCATTGCGGGGTAGTAGTATTTCTTTTTTTCATTGTACGCCAGTTGAGGGAAATGGGTCTTGAATCTAGAAATGCAATTATTGGGATTATTGTATTTCGTACTAATCTATAATATTGTTTTAGGTGTATTAAGATTGATATGATCGATCATTTGCTTGGTGTTAATATATCTTATAAGTCTAATAAAAGAAATTCCACTAAATTTGTTCATTAGATAATAATATTCCTTGTTATTTTGTAAAGCCGACGGTGCTAGCTCAAACATGCACCGATCTCCAAGAAAATTTACAGGGGTGTTCCTAGATAAATACACAACACTAAAACCTTGAATAGCATTGTAGGACCATATTTTTATTTTTGGAGGGTAACGGTCACACCCCAGCTCACACTGTACCACCACCTAATAAATCTGTGACTGGGAATCATTTCTTTAGGGCTTTACAGTAATCCTGATATATTGTTGTAATAATACACACCAACTCTTCTGTTTATTTATTAATAAAGGCTTTTAATTGTCTCTATAATATTGGTATTCACTCATTGATTATTTAGTTTCCCAGGAAGAGCTAGTATACAATGGTGACTGTGTTTATTTTGGAAACTGAAGGTAAGTGCTTTATTTGTGTTGGTTGAAGCCAGTTACATAAACATGATGAGAGTACTGTTGCTCGGCCTTCATTAATAATTGTCCGTCATTATTAGTTATCTACAGTAACATCTTGTATTTCAAGAGTAATATAGACTGGAAAAATTGCATCAAATTCGCCAAATGCCAATACATAAACTAATGGGAAAAATAACAATATAGACTGGCCACTCTACTCCAACCTCTGATGTTCCCATTTATAACCTCCAGATGATACAAATTCTGCCTTTATTGACCCGATTGTGCTTTCCGGAGACTAGTTTTTAGGCCTTCCTCAAGTAACTTAATCACACGCTGCTTATCTTGCATCGAGTACTTGGCAAACTTAACTCCCTTATGATAGTCCCGCTTCTCCTTATTTGGCCGCTCAGGTGAGTCTGTCCCACCAGCACCAGTAGGAACCCCAGTAGAGGTAGAGGCCATTATCTTGACTCAACAGTTGTTCTTGGAAACAATCTCCTTACCTTGTCTTTCCGTATTCATCGCTAACACAACAAAATTGGAGAAAACAGCGAAAATCATGGAGTAATCGACAGAAACCACGCGATTCAACTGATCACGTGATGTAAACAGAGAGCGCTGGTGTAAACCATTATTAGTCCTCACTGTGAAACATTCTTTTTACCTATTCATTTCGTACAGTATTTATAGGTAACAGCTAAATTTGCAAAAAAAGAACAAAATTTACAGAGTACCTCTCAAAAAACTCTTCACAAACAAAAGATACGAATCAATTGAACATGTGATGTTGAATGTGAACTGTAAACATTGCATAACCCCGCGCCGCCTTAAAGCGATGAGGATGGAATCATGCTATAGCCAACATTTGTATGCAAAAGTTTGCGTTTTACAAACATCGTTTCCCTATTCATCAATCGCGTTACAACCAATTTGCGTTGACAAAACACTCGTTGTAGCAGAAATGACTGTAACTGGTATGAGGGCTGTGACGTCATTCAAGACGGTGGCCAGCATTCAATTGGCTGGATCTCGCGGAACTCGCGATATTTTACGCCAAATATAAGACTTGGTTACATTAGGTAGTGCTCACGAAATTAAAAAATGCGAAATGAAATCGCGCGAAATATGAGATCTTACTGTATAACCTGTTTACAGCTTCTTTATTAAACACTTATGTATGGGTTCCCCTCTGAGCTGAATAGAGGTGCCTGAAGTTAGTTAGCTAAATAAACTATTAATAGTTGCCTCCCCAGAGCAAAGGGGTTAACAGATAGATGAAAATTTTTGTTGCAGAAACAATGTGAACCAAACCAGAGATCAGTTGTACAGACAATAACGTGACTGTCTCATACAGACATGCAGCTGAAGGAGGAGAAGGCTCGGCTCATCATGGAGCGGCAGGCCAGTGAGAGCAGAGGGTCGGCTTATAACAAGGTGTCTACGGAGCTGGAGGCACTGAAGCTCAAGCACACGGCTCTTGTGGAGGAGACCAACTCTCTCAGAACCCGTGTTAGTTCACAAATACTCTACTCTACAGTACTACTTTTATGTCAACTTTTTTATTTTTATTTTTAATACTGTAGAATATTTTACATGTGTGTGTTTGTGTATATATGTACATTTATTTGTGTGTACACCAAGTATGTATGTATGTATGTATGTATGTATGTATGTATGTATGTATGTATGTATGTATGTATGTATGTATGTTCAGGCGACCTGTGGTGTAATGGTCAGCATGTTCGCCTCGCAACCGAGTGAACCCGGGTTCGATTGCCGGGCAGGGTGAAACTGTGGGCAAGTTTCCTTACGCCATTTGCCTCTGTCTACCCAACAGTAATTGGAGACCTGGATGTTAATCGATTTGCGGATCGTGTTCCGGGGTAATGGTTAGCCAGTGTAGTTGGCGAGTTGTCCGGTCTTCTCGGACTATTCCTTGACACTGGGTCAGGCAGCTCGTTAACTCAGGGTGTGGTTGTTGTGTTGGCAACAGCTTCTACACCTTAAACAAATTCTCGCCTAGGTGGCCCTTGGGCCGGCCATTCTTGTACTCCAGGGCAACCATTATGTGTGTGTGTGTATGTGGTTATGTGGGCACTAGGTTATGGGTTTAGTGGAGGGTACCATGATGGTGTTGAAGATTCTTTCCACAAAATATTTTCATAACTGTTGCTTAACATTGTGAGTGTCTCAGTGATCCACAGACTGCGTGATGGAACTGCTACAAGGAGACAAAGTGACATCAGAAATATTTATTCTCTTGAGCTCATCCACACCTGGTTAACTGAGACAGTTCTCTAAAGGCATTGTTTTCTGGCAGGCTAATTTTTCTGACATGTAGTTTCAACTCTGGACGTGATCCCTATGAATGCTCTAGGAATGAGGCTCAACTGTGTGGTTCAGCGGCATTAATTAGCCCAGCATAGAGCAGACATCCTCTCTTTGTGTTGCCTGTACCCTGCAGTAGCATCACTTTGATCTCTGTGGGCCTGAGGTGATGGAGGCAGCATCCATCACAACTGTCCAGTAAAATCTGCATTGTATACTTGATCTGCTGGTATTGTGATTTATTTTGTCTTGAGTTTAAGGAATGTGTTCCTCAACATTAGAAGAGTTGACCTAATATATTTGTCATCAATAATTAAAACATACTTAATGCTCTGATGTTTTTTAGTAGACACTCTTAAATGAACCATCTGGATATAAACATTCCTGAGTAATGTTTATTTTCTTGTAGAAGTTGTTGGGTTTGTCTGGCAGCATTGCTCCTGGTGTTGGGATCCAAGGTTCACTCTCGTTTTGTTTGTGCCATTCCCAAAATATTTGTCAGTGGTCAGTATTGTTGGCTGACCTCAGTGTTCCGAGCATACATAGTGTCTTAGGAGGTTCTGTAGCACCATAGAATTAAAGGAAGTTTTCCCAAGACTGTACTGTACTGTACTGTACTGTACTGTACTGTACTGTACTGTACTGTACTACTTTACTTACACACTGGACTTACCACTGCACTACACTACTCATGCCACTGTTCTGCATATATACACACTACTACTGCACTGCACTGCACTGCACTGCACTGGACTGGACTGGACTGGACTGTACTGTACTGTACTGTACTGTACTGTACTGTACTGTACTGTACTGCACTGCACTGCACTGGACTGGACTGGACTGGACTGGACTGTACTGTACTGCACTGCACTGCACTGCATTGCATTGTGCTGTGCTGTGCTGTACTGCACTGTACTGCTTTACACTATACTGCACTGCACTATACTGCACTGCACTGCACTGCACTGCACTGTACTGCACTGCACTGCGCTGTGCTGTGCTGTACTGCACTGCACTGTACTGCTTTGCACTATACTGCACTGCACTATACTGCACTGCACTGCACTGCACTGTGCTGTGCTGTGCTGTACTGCACTGCACTGTACTGCTTTGCACTATACTGCACTGCACTATACTGCACTGCACTATACTGCACTGCACTGTACTGCACTGCACTGTAATGTACTGAACTGTACTGCACTGCACTGTACTGCACTGTACTGCACTGTACTGCACTGCACTGCACTGCACTGCACTGCACTGTAATGTACTGTACTGTACTGTACTGCACTGCACTGTAATGTACTGTACTGTACTGTACTGCACTGTACTGCACTATACTGTACTGTTTTGTACTGCACTGCACTGTACTGCACTGCACTGTACTGTACTCCTAACATACCTGAGGCCTAGGATGCCACTCTTTATTAATTCACCTTTAAGGTCAGTACAGTACAGTATTCATCAGTCTACATGTTACTCTTATTCTGGCTGCTTGTTGAAGCCTCTGACAAAATTTTTATCTGTTATTACTTGTCATGGTGAATGGATGCTTCACAGAGTATACATTATATAAAAGTTATGCACATCTGGTAATGAATGTCCCATGACCACTTTGAAAACAGTTACCGAGCTGGTCAGGGCGAACTAAAGACAGTATAGATGTCTTCACTTGTTACACCTTCTGGGAACCAACTGTGTAATTAACCAGTTGCTTCCTCACACACATCACCAGCTCACAACCACTGATCTGTAGCCTGGACTGTTACGTGCTCGACTGTACGGTATTTTAATTATCGTCGGGACTCTTGTTTGGAAAATGGTTTGTTCGTCTCATTAGAGGTTTGAAAATATGTGATGACTATGAATTTATGGTGATTTTTTATATTGTGTATTTTGTGTAGGTGACAACTTATGAAGCAGAACGGGAGGAAACGGAGAAATTGTTCTCCAGTTTGCGTACGGAAGTGACGTCCTCCCGCCAGGAAGCTGCAGACCTCAACCTCCAGTTATCCAATACGGCACACCTACAGCAGCAGCTCAGCAGGTGACTTATTATACGTCAATAGTGCTCACAGCTTCATCTTGATCTTGTGGTTGGCCAGACTGTTTCATCAGATGTCTGGACAGATTCATAGTATTTCTAGTCACTTATCTGATATTACAAAATTATTATTACAACCTTACTTAATATCTAAACACATACTGTAGTATCCATTTTATCACTCAGAATTGTCTTAATTTCTGCCTTGTGTTTGATGATTTACAATACAGTATGTAAGTCACAGCTGCCCTCATTTCCACCCACTTCAAATCCTCAATTAATTCTTGTACTGAAATATTGGGCAAAAGTCATGACTATGGTCACTCAACTCTTTTTAAGTGTGCTAAATCGTGTAAAGCTTCAACACTTGTGGCTCCTCAGAGAAGGAGGTCACTCACTTGTTGTGGTAAAATACACATTTAATGCTGATGAGGATGAAACATATACAGTACAGCACTTGTTTTTATGTAGATATGTTTCAGTAATGTGCACAGACTGGAGGGACTTAAGCATGAAGAGCTGATAAGGCAATCAATGGGTTACTAGTTCAAGCATCAAGACTGTAGTTGTAATTTAAAACATGTACAGTGCTTCACTCTAGCTTTCCTCCAATAACATTTCAGAGAACGAGAACAGTTAGCTGCAGCCAACCAAGACATAGACGGGTTACAGTCAACAAACAGTGAGTTGGAGAGTGAATTGCTGACCTGCCGTCAGAAGGAGGCGGAGCTGCTGGCCTTCACGCAGAAGCTGACTGACAAGAACGTCCAAATTCAGAGTCAGTTCTCTGCCCTCCAGTCAAAGGTGATCTTAATGGTGGACTCTTTTATTATATACAAAATTTCTTCGTTGTTTTTTCTATGTAGTAAAATAGTCTGTGATATTTTATGACAATACTTTGCATACACTATTCAAATTGTTCTTTGTACTTGGTAAAGGTGCTGTTAAAAAAGTTCTGACATTAACCCCTTATGTATGGGGTCCTCTCTCTGCTGAATAAGTCGTCCGGCCTTAGCCAAATGAGACATTAAAAGTGGCATCCCCCATAGTGAAGGGGTCTCAAGAAATGAAAGAAGAATGTGAATGAACTGAGAGAGGTAGCATTAAGAGGGAGGCCAGGCATGAAGAGAGGGTTCACAATCCTCTCTGTCCATAATCTTTAGGGCACTACTTTTGTCAGGTGTATCAAAGAGAAGACAACATAACAAGAGCAGATATAACAGGAGAGGGTGAAGTAGGACACACACACACACGCTCTTTTCCTTATATCCTCAGTGGTCTACATTGTTCCATGACTTGTATACTTCTACACAACCATGAGTCTGTGTGTCTGTTGGAGGTATTTTTATACTGAAATGTATATGGCTAAGAGTAGATTAATTTATAATTGGGTTGCTGCAAGTGTGTAAGTCTGTTTGTGTGTGTGTGTGTATGGAGTACAGTATTTGTGCAAAAGAGGGTGTCTGTATGTGTGTGAGTCTTTACAGGATACAATATACCAAGTGTAGCCTCCATGATGTGGTGTAGAGTAGATTGTTATTAAAGACCACATAAATTTGGTAATCACATTGATGTTAAGATCCTCATGATAAAGAAATTGCCCTGTACTGTACAGTAATAGCATGTTGAATTGATGTAAATGGCATCATACAGTATTGAATACTGGGTAATGAAACACAGTAATAAGGGTTCACTGTAAAGCTGTGGCTTATACTCAACTTTTACTTATGGATGGACTTGGACATGTAACATTTTCTGCCACATGTGAGTTCAGTATCTTTTCTAGGGATGGGTCTTCACTGTTTGTTGTGGTATATGACTGTGTGTGCTCCTCAACCACTGATTACAGCCAGGTGTGCTTTGTTCGAGTTGACTGGAAACACATTGAAAATTTTAGACAAATTTCCTCCACTCCAGATAGTGGAGGTGCTGGAGCTTAGGAAATCTTGAGTTAATGGGGTGCAGACATCTTCATCACCACCACCATTTACCACACTTGTGTCCGCTAGGTGTGATTATCATGGTGTCCGGCTGCTGTTGGGTAAATTTGAACCAAGTTTTACAGCTAGATCCCCTTACTATCACCAACCTACTTTTAAAATTGTGGGAACTGGGTCATACAATAGAGTACATACAGTATACTGCATGTAGGACTTGTAAGCTCCCTCATAGACGGCAAGGCAGGTCTTTATTCCCTTAGGTGCTGAAAGATAACCTGTCTCTTAGAAACGTTTTGCCTTTTTTTTAGGGTTATTAAATAGTCTTTTATATACAGTACAGTACAGGTATATGTATTATTATTTACAAAGTAAGTTTCCTGATATTATATAATGTAATATTAACAGTTGTTTTCTCACGTTTGTGTGTGTGGTTGGTGGAGCTGCAGTCAGTGTGCTGATCAGAAAGTGAGCTACAGGCATGGCCATGTTGCTGTCAGTGTAGGGCCTGGTGAGGTAGTTACAAGAACTTGATGTCAGCTCGCGAGAGAGAGCCTGTGTTGCTCGTGGTTCTGGCCACTGTGTAAATTCTTGAAAGATTTAAGAAATAAAGAACCCAGCCTGAGACACTTGTAGACTCATACCCCCAAAGATACTCTACAGTACAGTATATTGTACATGAACTTTTACTCTTACAGACACAAATGATGGAGTTGGAACATGGTGAGATCAAATCAGAATTGGATGAGCTCAAGATGCAGAAGTCTAAGTTAAAAACAGACCTGACCAGAGAGAACCAGACTCACAGTGCTCAGGTGAGGCTCAACTGTTGATACATGTCCAGTCTTCTTATTTAGTGTTGAATTAGGAAACAAGAAGATACTTGTAGAAGGCTGGGGTCCTGCCCTAGCTAGGTTGTTCTGAGACCACGGACTATATGTGTGTAAGTGACAACATCCGTGCCATACGTTCCTTATATCTGGAAAGTGGCTCATTAGTCAACAGCTTCATTGTTGTTGTTGAAACATAACAAGTTGACTTTGTGATGAACCATTAGTTTATCTGTTACCATAAACTAGGCTGTCAGTTTTATCTGGTACAGTATATGGTGCTGGCTCATGGGCTCATCTGACCTCTTGGTAACAGGGTTGGCATGATTAAAATAAAACAATTTTAATCAAGTGATATAAATTGATTTTAATCAGAGAAATATATCATTGAGTATCAAAAATAATTTTATTTTAAATAAAATAATCTAAAAAATTCAAAGTATATTTGATATTATTTTGTGTATCACTATTTATTATAACAGATAGACAAAGTCACAACACATTGACTTTTGTGTTGTTGTTTATGTATGACTAAGTTATTCTTGTACTGTACTCAGTCTGCATTATTACCTCACTAAATTAGGTGTATTACAGTACTGTGGCTTCTTAACATAACTACTAGTTGGCAACTGTTCCCGGAGCCTTGTGTTAATTTACTGGTTTTGTCATGGTCTGGGCTCATGTATGATAATACAGTGGTCCCTCGGTTACCGAACACAATTCGTTCCAGAAGGTCGTTCGTTAACCGAAACCATTGTTTCAATGGGATTTTGGGTAATTGGTTCCAGCTCACCGAAAATTACATACAAACTAAAAATAAATGCAGTAAAGTACACTTACTTTGAGGTGTGTATGTAGAAGGCTCCTGGTTGATGATGATGATAATTAGAATGGGGGTGGAGGAGAAGGGAGAAGAGAAGGAAGTGGGGGTGGAAGAGAAGTCACCCCATGCTGCCATTTCACCCATAAAATTTTAGTTCACTTGGTGTATGAAGAATAGATACAGTGTGACTGAGCACTTATCTTTAATGTAGTCAGCTGAATGCACACGGGGCCCCCATAATTTTCTATTTACAGGATACATGGAGACTATATTAATTGGATGAAGCAGAGGAGGAGACAGGGCTGGGTGGGTCATCAATGTCGCTTTCTTCAGACAGGTTATGTACAGGGGAAACTTGCTGGTTGAAGGTATTGGATCATCTTTAGGGAGTGAAGAGGCAGCATTGGTGGTGCGTGAGGAGACAGCACTGGGAGACTTCTTAAAATAGATGTCCAATTTAGACTGCACAGTTTGCTTTTTATTTTCATTATAAATCTCCCTGTAGCAAGCAAGTGCATCTTGGATCATTCTGTCAACTTTGGCAAAACGCTCAACATTTTGATCCATTCCGTCAAACACTTGCATCCCCTTATTAATTGTAGCAAATGCCTCTGCCATTTGCTTCACTGAAAAATTTTTGGGGGGTGCAGGTTCTTCTTCTACAGTTAGACTCTCTTCTTCCTCTGCAATTTTCTGTGCATCCAGTTCAATAAGATCCTCGTTACTTAGCTTTTCTGCTACACTTTCAACCAACTACTCAACATCTTCATTATCAATTTCTAACTCCAGCTGTTCACCCAACTCCACTATCTTGTTACTAATCTCAGAAATTGCTTCATGTTCATTAAATCCTCACATATCTTTTCGGGACTTTCTTCCATATTCCATTCATGCACTGACCTGTAACCTCATCCCATGCTGCACAAATGTTCTTTATACATTTCAAAATGTTGTAGTCCTTCCAAAACTGTCTGAGAGTTTTCTCACCTTCAGTAGCAGCAACAGCCTGAGCGAAGGTTGTATGTAAATAATTAGCTTAAAAAGCAGCAATAGCACCTTGATCTCAAAAGTAATTGCCTCTCCTTTTCTTATCAGCACCACGAGAACTCTCACTTGTACACTTGCCAGTCATTTTAAAGGGAATTAAAAACAAAATTTTTTGTCAGTACGCAACGCTATCACTAACAACAACGACGGCCAAACACCAACCGGGCGGGCTAGTCGTGGATGCTGTACACCACGAGGCGACCCAGCCCGCTCTTTCATACGAGACCGAAACGTTTCGGTACTAGAAAATACTGTACGTAATTTGAAAAGTATTTTATACGAGCACGGCGGTTGTTGTCGTATGTGAGGGTCGTAGTAAGTCGAGTATGGCGTGAGTCGAGGAGAGGCTTACACTTGAGTACAGTGCAGGTTTGGCCTTCCGACAATTATTCCTTTTACCTTTTTCACGATATGTATCTAGGATGGTGTGTGCATGTAGATGAGTTAAAATAAATGAAGAAAGTTAAGTATATCTACCCAAATACAGTATACGAGTTGATAAACAACCATAGCACTTCACAGCTTGGCCCAGTAGCCTGCCTGGTGGTTGTTGTGACGAGTCTAGCCTGGCTACAGTGCTGCTCAGTTTACCCGGCCACGTAGGCGGAACAAGCAGTGATGTTGTCTGTGGCGTAGATGAGCAGAGACGTGTATGTGAGCCACTGAGCCAGGCCGTGCACCCCTCCCCTACCTCACCTCCCAGCCACCCTCTCCCACTGAGCCAGGCCGTGCACCCCTCCCCTACCTCACCTCCCCCAGCCACCCTCTCCCACTGAGCCAGGTAGGCAGTGCACCCTCCCCTACCTCCTCCCCCCAGCCACCCCTCTCCCACTGAGCCAGGCCGTGCACCCCTCCCCTACCTCACCTCCCAGCCACCCTCTCCCACTGAGCCAGGCCGTGCACCCCTCCCCTACCTCACCTTCCCCCTAGCCACCCTCTCCCTTCTCCAGTCTCTGAATCTGCTGTCCCAGTTTGTCCGCTCGTACTAGATCCCGTTATTTACTGTCATCGCTGTACTCGGGAACACACCCACGTATTATTCCCTCCCTCATACCAGTGTTCGATGTACAAGGAACGACGCATCTACTCGTATCATGGAGATTTTACTGTACCTTTGAAGATATCATAATATACTCTACCAAGTTATTAACCTTTATTTTTATCTATTACTATACTGTATTTTTGACCTTTACCGTTGCTTAATTTCCTTTACTTTATGATGTGAAGTTTTATAGACACCATCATTATTTAAAATATTGTTGTCATAAGATAAGAGGTTGTGGATGATAAGGAGAACTAGGTGGCCTGACTAAGGTATAACTGGGCAGCACAACAAGGTTCACTGTTGGATGTTTATTGTTGCAGCTGGAGAACCTTACACAGCAGCTAACAGAAAAAACAGAAGAGGCGAAACTTTTAACTACAAAAGTTATGGACCTTGAAAATGAGATTCAAGTCCTCAAAAGAAAACACAACAATTCCTTAAAAAAAGTCTCTCTCTCTCTCTCTCTCTCTCTCTCTCTCTCTCTCTCTCTCTCTCTCTCTCTCTCTCTCTCTCTCTCTCTCTCTCTCTCTCTCTCTCTCTCTCTCTCTCTCTCTCTCTCTCTCTCTCTCTCTCTCTCTCTCTCTCTCTCTCTCTCTCTCTCTCTCTCTCTCTCTCTCTCTCTCTCTCTCTCTCTCTCTCTCTCTCTCTCTCTCTCTCTCTCTCTCTCTCTCTCTCTCTCTCTCTCTCTCTCTCTCTCTCTCTCTCTCTCTCTCTCTCTCTCTCTCTCTCTCTCTCTCTCTCTCTCTCTCTCTCTCTCTCTCTCTCTCTCTCTCTCTCTCTCTCTCTCTCTCTCTCTCTCTCTCTCTCTCTCTCTCTCTCTCTCTCTCTCTCTCTCTCTCTCTCTCTCTCTCTCTCTCTCTCTCTCTCTCTCTCTCTCTCTCTCTCTCTCTCTCTCTCTCTCTCTCTCTCTCTCTCTCTCTCTCTCTCTCTCTCTCTCTCTCTCTCTCTCTCTCTCTCTCTCTCTCTCTCTCTCTCTCTCTCTCTCTCTCTCTCTCTCTCTCTCTCTCTCTCTCTCTCTCTCTCTCTCTCTCTCTCTCTCTCTCTCTCTCTCTCTCTCTCTCTCTCTCTCTCTCTCTCTCTCTCTCTCTCTCTCTCTCTCTCTCTCTCTCTCTCTCTCTCTCTCTCTCTCTCTCTCTCTCTCTCTCTCTCTCTCTCTCTCTCTCTCTCTCTCTCTCTCTCTCTCTCTCTCTCTCTCTCTCTCTCTCTCTCTCTCTCTCTCTCTCTCTCTCTCTCTCTCTCTCTCTCTCTCTCTCTCTCTCTCTCTCTCTCTCTCTCTCTCTCTCTCTCTCTCTCTCTCTCTCTCTCTCTCTCTCTCTCTCTCTCTCTCTCTCTCTCTCTCTCTCTCTCTCTCTCTCTCTCTCTCTCTCTCTCTCTCTCTCTCTCTCTCTCTCTCTCTCTCTCTCTCTCTCTCTCTCTCTCTCTCTCTCTCTCTCTCTCTCTCTCTCTCTCTCTCTCTCTCTCTCTCTCTCTCTCTCTCTCTCTCTCTCTCTCTCTCTCTCTCTCTCTCTCTCTCTCTCTCTCTCTCTCTCTCTCTCTCTCTCTCTCTCTCTCTCTCTCTCTCTCTCTCTCTCTCTCTCTTATTGAGTTCTTTCTTTGTGTTGACATTACAGTATATTATAAGAGTACAGTACTAGTCCTGGTGCTATAGAAGGTAATGTACATCCCACAGGACATAATGAGAGAGATGCACAAACTACGGAGGCGTCTAGAGGACCAGGAAAATGGCACCGCCGGAGTCTCGTCCAGCGGCCGATCCTCCCAGTCGGCGACGCCGCACGACGCCTTGTCGCAGGGCTCGAGGGCTTCGTCCAACACCTCCCTCAACACCATAGAATACCAGAGTACTAATGGCAGCAGTCCACACTCGCAGGTGATGACCGAGCGTACAGTCACGTTCGTTCCTCCCGTGCTGTACGCGTTCCATAATTGTTATTTTGCTCGTTGAGTCGGTCCATCGGTTCAAAGTTAAGCGAGCCGAAATGAGAATGGCGAGGTGGATGTGTAATGTGACTTTGAACGATAGGAAGCCCTGCTTAGAGCTAAGAGGACCCCTGGTTGGGTGTTGAGAGTACAGTATGGTTAAGTTTTACATAGAGGTGCTGTAGACTGAGATGGTTTGGGTGTGTGGAGGAGAATATGACCAACTATCATCTCTCCACCACTGGATGAAGGCCTTTCACATGAATGTTATCAATCTTCTATATTAAACAATGTTTATCCATTTGTTTGCTTTATACAGTAATGTACTGTACAGTAACTAGTACAGTAGTAGTTATTGACCAACACGATCTGTGTTCAACTGTGTGTGCATATTACCAGGATCCCCTGCCGCCTCTTCACGACCCTCTGGTGACTCAGCAGCTATTGGTCGATAGAATAATTAAACTCCAGAAATCTGCTGCCAGACGCTCGGAAAAGATCGAGTTCCTGGAAGAACACGTCTCTCAGTTGGTGTCTGAACTGAAGAAGAAGTCTCGCATCATCCATCACTACATCATGAAAGAAGAGACCGGAGCTCTGGCTAACTCGGCGTCAGATTCTTCCAAGGTGAGGGTGTGATCCATCAAGATCAACTGTTGTTGCACCATTAACTCATGCACAATATTTTACTGCTGTTGTTTTAATGCATTTTATATTTTAACTCGCAGGTGTTTAAGGTACTGTGTATGTAACTGCTGTAAGTTGACAACAGTACAGTATATGTGAATGAATAACTCATAAATAACATTTAATCTCCTAATCTTGCTAATCCAACTTTGACAATAGTCTCCCAATGCTAACACTGGAATTACAAGAAGAAAGAGCCAGGTAGGTGTTGCAGTCACCATTATCAACACATCTTAATAGTACTGATAATTAGTTACTACAGTGACCCCTCGTTTAACGAACACCTCGGTTAACGTAATTTCGATTAACGAACTGCCTTCCATAAGGATCTTCAATTCGGTTAACGAAAAAAATTCGGTTAACGAAGTTCTTACGAACCGACCTCAACATGTTTTCGCTTGCACTGACCGGGCAACCAGCTTTAGTATCAGTCCGCCAATACATTAATCGGTTCTAGGGCTTAAATTCCTTACTATTTTAGTAAATATCAAGAAGTTTATACTATTCAATAATTTTAAAAGCTTAATATTCAATTTTTTAGTCATTTTAACAATTATTGAACATAATTGAAGGTAAAGTGACTAGTTTAATGCGCGGCATCCAGCCTCTTAACACAGCAAACAGGAGTTAGTCTCTCTCTGTTTTCACTGGAGGTAACATCTTGCTTGAGACTCTCTTCAACTAAATGCTTTTTTCTGTGTTTCCAAGCAAATTATTGGTCATTTTGAAATATATTTTACATATTGACAATATATAATGCAGTGCAGTGTTGATTTAAAGAAAATAATCTTGAATTACACCAAGAGAGCTAAAATTTTATGGGTGAAATGGCGCCATGGGGTGACTTCTCTTCCACCCCAATGCCTACTCTTCTTCCTTCTCCTCCACCCCCATTCTAAATCCCATCATCATCATCATCATCATCAAGGAGCCTTCTACATACACACCTCAAAGTAAGTGAACTTTTCTACCATTTTTGTTGAATTTAGGAAATTTTCGGTGAGCTGGAACCAATTACCCAAAAACCCATTGAAACAATGGTTTCGGTTAACGAACTTTTCGGTTAACGAACGACCTTCTGGAACGGATTGAGTTCGTTAACGGAGGGGTCACTGTACTGTACTCTATGTATTTTGGGTAACTTTCAAAAGATATCTCTTTAACTATATATAGACACGATAGAATGAGAAGAGAAAGAGTTACAACCTTCATATTTAGTGTGTGTGTATATTGGTTCCTTTGGAGACTGATTTATCACAGACCAAAAGAATTGATGACATTGTTTAACATACAGTATCACACCAACATATGCAATGGCTTACTGTCTTCAGTAAAAGATATTTTTGGTGAGTTTGTCAGAAAGCCTTAAAAATTCACCCTTACATGCCATAACAAGTTGATTTCAGGCCACCTCATCAAACTGCCTTGACTCATTTTTGTATCTGAACTTAAGATAATTCTGGGAACCACTGTACTGTAGTGTATATATAGTATTTTGAAGTACTGTACAGTGGTCCCTCGGTTAACGAGCACAATCCGTTCTAGAAGGTTGCTCGTTAACTGAAAAACTCGTTAACCGAAACCATTGTTTCAGTGGGTTTTGGGTAATTGGTTCCAGCTCACCGAAAATTGCCTAAATTCAACAAAAAATTTAGAAAAGTACACTTACTTTGAGGTGTGTATGTAGAAGGCTCCTGGATGATGAGGATGATGATGGGAATTACAATGGGAGTGGAGAAGGGAGAAGAGAAGGCATTGGGGTGGAAGAGAAGTCACCCCATGGCACCATTTCACCCATAAAATTTTAGCTCTCTTGGTGTAATTCAAGATTGTTTTCTTAAAATCAACACTGCACTGCATTATATATTGTCAATATGTAAAATACATTTCAAAATGACCAATAATTTGCTTGGAAACACAGAAAAAAAGCGTTTAGTTGAAGAGAGTCTCAAGCAAGATGTTGCCTCCACTGAAAAGACACAAAGACTGACGCCTGTATGGTGTGTTGAGAGGCTGGATGGAGCGCATAAAACTAGTTTCATTACCTTCAATTATGTTCAATAATTGTTAAAATGACTAAAAAAATTAATATTAAACTTTTAAAATTATTGAAAAGTATAAACTTCTTGATATTTGCCAAAATGGTAAGGAATTTAAGCCCTAGAACCGATTACTGTATTGGCGGACTAATACTACAGCTGTTGGACCGCCAAATGCAAGCGAAAACATGTTCAGGTCGGCTCGTAAGAAACTCGTTAATCGAGGGATTGCTCGTTAACCGAAGTTCAGAATCTTATGGAATGTAACTTGTTAACCGAAATCTTGTTAACCGAGGCGCTCGTTAACCGAGGGACCACTGTACTGTAGTGTAGTGTATATATAGTATTTTGAAGTACAGTGGGGTATGTTATAACGTATCTAATTGGTTCTAGAACCTCGTTCGTTATAGCATTCATTCGTTATAGGATTAATCCGTTCCAGGCCCCCAAATACAACCACTTAACACTGAAAATTTTCTGTGGAAAATGTAAAAAATACGGTACTTTATCTTACCTTAGTGTTGTTCAGCATGCAGGACAGGAGGCAGAGGAGGAGGGGGGAGGAGAGAATTATTGAGAAGAGGTGGGAGGAGAGGAGTCGTCCTTCCTAGCCCTCTTTGGTGACTGTCTCACAGGCACTTTGTCTGTAGGTTCTTTTGTTACCTTTGTAAAGAAGGAATCCAGGGTTGGCTGCTTCAACCTTGATTTCTGGACTTTCCAAAAATAGTTCATCACATTGTCATTAAACACACTGATGGCCTTTTGCACAGAACCAACATCAGGATGATAATCCTCAGCAAGCTTGGACAGTTTGCTCCAGCAAAAGAACACATCCTTGAGATCTTTGGCTGGAATGATGCGGCTTTCCTCCTTGTCCTCCTCCTCCCCTGACTCCTCAGAAGTTAAGCTCCGCTTCAGTGTCTCATTTTCTTCTTTGTGAAGCTCAAGCAGCTCCTCAGTGGACAGCTCCTTACTGTGCTCTTCCACCAACTCCTCACCATCATCATCATCCACTTCCAGGCTCATGGAATTGCCCAGACACAATTTCATGTACAACAGCCTCTTCCTCTAACTCTTCGAAGCCTTCAAAGTCTCTTTGAAGCACACATTCAGGCCACAATGGCCTCCAAGCAGCACAAAGACACCTCTTAGTAACCTCTTTCCAGGCTGAGGTAATTAAAAACACAGCGTCTGCTATATTGAAGTGACTCTTCCAAAATTCCTTCAAGCTAACATCACTGGAAGAAGTGGACGCAAAACATTTTCTCAACAGTGCCTTTGTGTACAGCTTCTTAAAGTTAGAAATGACCTGTTGATCCATGGGCTGGATGAGAGGTGTTGTGTTGGGTGGCAAGAAGTGCACAGTGATGAAGTTGAACTCCTCTGGCAATTCAACCATCAAATTAGGATGGTGGGCTGGTGCATTGTCCATCACCAACAAAGCTTTCAGTGGAAGATTATTTTCCCTGAGGTATTCCCGAACACTGGGTCCAAACACCTCAGTCACCCACTCAGAGAAAAGACTCCTGGTCACCCAAGCCTTTGGGTTTGACCGCCACATAACACCAAGGCGGGTCTTTCTAATGTTTTTGAAAGCTCTGGGGTTTTCTGCATGGTACACAAGGAGTGGCTTTATCTTGCAGTCACCAGAAGCATTAACACAAAGAAGGAGGGTAAGCCTGTCTTTCATTGGCTTATGGCCAGGGACAGAAGTTTCCTCCTTGGTAATGTATGTACGGCGAGGCATTTTTTTCCAAAAAAGTCCAGTTTCATCACAGTTGAATACCTGCTGAGAAACAAAGCCTCCCTCTTTAATCACATTAAAAAAAATGTCATGGTGTTCCTTAGCTGCTTCCTTATCTGCACTAGCAGCATCACCATGTCTCACAACACTGTGTAATTTATTTCTCCTTCTGAAACCAGTAAACCACCCCTTGGTATCCCTAAACACTGGCACAGCACTATCACTTGCAGTCTTGGCTTTAAGGTCTTCTCACAAATTATAGCTTCACTAATGTTACCACCTGCCATTTCTTTCTCCTTTATTCACACTAAGAGTAAATTTTCCGTCTCCTCAATCACCTTGCATTGCTAAGTCTAGAGATTCCCTTAGCCACTTGCACAGTTTTCAACTCCTCTTTATTCTTTAAAATCTTACATATAGTCGATTTAGCCATCCCATACTCATCACTAAGTTTCGCAATGCTTGTTCCATTCTCATGTTTCTTTATGATTTCTTTCTTAGTTTCAAGGGTTATGAGCTTTCTCACTCGCTTTGGACGATTCATTGTTACAATTGTACACTTGTATAACAAAATAGTTATACAAATACAGTGGGGTATGCTATAACGAACGGATCCTACTACGAATATTCCTATAACGAACGGTTTTACCTATAAAATTGAGAATGCTATAACGAACGCAACTCCTACAACGAACGCGGATGAATACCGGACTATTTCGCCTGGCGCATGAATATTGTTGTACTGCGACCCACAACAAGAGCGTCAGGCGCCATCTTTGTCTCATTGTGTAGCCAGTGCACCACTGTTATTGTTGAAATTTCGTCTTTTGATGTGGAAATTCGCGTTATTTGTATAACTATTTTGTTATACAAGTATACAATTGTAACAATGAGTCGTCCAAAGCGAGTGAGAAAGCTAATAACCCTTGAAACTAAGAAAGAAATTATAAAGAAACGTGAGAATGGAAGAAGCATTGCGAAACTTAGTGATGAATATGGGATGGCTAAATCGACTATATGTACGATTTTGAAGAATAAAGAGGAGTTACAAACTGTGCAAGTGGCTAAGGGAATCTTTAGACTTAGCAAAGCAAGGTGTAATGTGATTGAAGAGATGGAAAATTTACTCTTAGTGTGGATAAAGGAGAAAGAAATGGCAGGTGGTAACATTAGTGAAGCTATAATTTGTGAGAAGGCTAAACAATTGTTTGAGGACCTTAAAGCCAAGACTCCCAGTGGAAGTGATAGTGATGTGCCAGTGTTTAGGGGTACCTGCATGCTGAATAACACTAAGGTAAGATAAAGTACCGTATTTTTTACATTTTCTACAGAATTTTTTCAGTGTTAAGCGGTTGTATTTGGGGGCCTGGAACGGATTAATCCTATAACGAACGAATGCTATAACGAACGAGGTTCTG